TCTCTGACAGCAAATCACATCTTGTCCAAAAACAACAATTTAAGATCCTCTGTGAGATGTTGGAAATAGAGAGGGAAAGCTAGAGAAGTGAGGCCTGTGTAGCCTGGGGGAAAGTAAACAAAATGGTAATAACTCACCTCATAAAAACAAAGGGATGGCTCTCCATGTGAGCTGAAATAGGCAAGCACGCTGGGAGATGGGTGAAAGCAGAGCCAAGGGGGCCTCTGGGCCATCTGCTGTCAAGGTGGCGATGGCATTTCCTGCGCAAGGAATGAGCTCTCCCTCATCAGAGGCAGCTGCTTATGATGGTGGGGACCCTTACCGGGGCAATGTGGCTAAAATTTGTCCTCTGGATAAGAACGTTTAAAATTGTTTCTTCTAAACCAGGCATGGTGGCTCACACCTGTAATCACCTCTAATCCCCCAGTGTTCTGGAGGCTGAGACAAAAGGGTTGCTGTGAGCTCAAGGCCATCCTGAACTACATACTGAGTTCAAGGCCAGCCTGACCTACATAGCAAGCAAGACCTTCACACACACACACACACACACACACACACACACACACACAGTTGTTTCTTCTGTAAATATCTCTTTAAAATTCAGTCTTTTAAAATATGATTTTGTTAGTATGAAGTTGCCTCCAAAGAGGGAAATATTGTTGATCTTTGACCTCCTACCCCTCACACTCTGCAGTCTCTAACCTGCTACACAAGGACAAACAATAGAATTGTTTCAGTCCTAAGGCTTTTCCTAGACTGAGCTGTTTTCTTGTGAGGTCTTGGCACCACCTTGTGGCTGACTTGTTCATTACAATACATACCTGGCCTGCAATAGAGCTTAATACAGATGCAGCACCCTCTGATGAATACTGTACATCAACTTGACAAAAATTCATTAAACACAAGTGTGACTTTTAGAACCCTGCTGAGGGCCGGGGAGATAGATTAGTGGTCTAAGTACCTGCCTGGCAAGCACAAGGACTGGAGTTCAATCCCTGGTACCATATGCTGTGCTGGCCCTGCCCTGGGCATGCCAAGCCTTCCACCGAAACTGGGCGTGATGGTGCATGCCAGTAATCCCAGCACTGTGGAGGCTGAAAAGGGAGGACCACTAGGAATCCAAGCTGCATAGTGAGATCCTGTACCAAATACATAATTTTTTTTAAAAAAAATGAACTCTGCTGAAACCTGGGTTCACTTTCTGAGTAACAAAAATTAAAGACATGGTCTCACCTTCCTAGAGCTCACACTGTAACACAGTAAACAGCAAACAAGCAAATGGAGAAAGAATTTATTATTACACATTTTGATGTTATTGGGAAATAAGCCCATCGTGAGATAAAGGCTCATGTAGGTAGGAGGGGTGTATTTAAATAGAGAAAGAGAAGGCTTCCCTTAGAAACATCAAAATCAAACTTGGAAGGACGGGAGGCATATTGGAGGATGTCCCCACGACAGCCGAGCCTGGGCTTCATGGAAAAGCCTAGGCCCGAACAGAGCTTGGAGTATAATGAGCGAAGCCCAGGGGTGAGTGGTGAGATGGACCCAAAGGTGTCTGAGTGACAGTGCACGGGAAGAGGAGGGGCCTTCCAGGACAGCACCTGATCACATTTACATTTTAAAAAAGCAGGAAGGAGGAGAAATGCTCAGTATAAATCTAGCCATTAGCTTGGTTCCAGCAGAAGCCCAAGAAAGGACGGACGCTAATTCCTGAGCATCCAAACCAGGCAGCTTGTGTCTGCTCCTGCCCTGCCCCGCCCTGTGTGGTTCCTGCTCTGTACCCCCAACCCCATTTTATAAGTCCAAATAGTAAGCTGCATGTCATTTGGGAGCACTGAAGAAGCCCAATGTCCAGCCTTCACCCTGATCAGTCAAATCTGCTTGTATAGGGTGAACCTGGGCTCCAGGGCCTTAAACATTCCCTGGTGGCTGCTTCAGTGTGTGGCTGAATGGAGACGAACAGTTGCCAAGAGAAAGGAAAAAAAGCCTCACCTGATTCTGTGGGGCAGTGGGGGCTCAGCAAGCACTGAGTGAGCTGGGCTGGCCTCTTCCTCACGATGTGGACTCTGCCCAGGTGGAAGCTGCCACTGTGGGCCAGCAGGCCCTCCACAGGGTGCCCTAAGTTGCCACACGGACACTTCCCACGGCGGGGAACAAGACAACAGCTGCAGTCCCCCATGTCCTGCGGAGGCCCACGTCACCAGAAGCTGTGCAGCTGCCGCTGCTGCTCCAAGAGACACGCAATTGTTGATTTTAGCATTATAGGTTGAATAGCCCTTAACCAAAATGCTGGCGACCAGAGGGTTTCAAATTTTGATTTCTTTTGATTTTAATTTTGGAATATCTGCATAGAGAGAGAGAGCTCTTAGAGAGAGGACCCTGCAGCTAAGGCAGCCACACTACATTAGTACATGACAGGCTGTTAATTATCAGATTTCTAGTTCCAACAAAAAGACAATTAACACGAGCATTCATACTAATCAAGTTCCCCAAGGAATTGGCAACATATACTTGTATTTAAGCCATAGTCACTAACAATATTTTCCTTAAAAGCAAACTACCCCATACATCTTAGTGCCCAAGCAGCCAAGCAAAGGTAGCAAAAGTCCAGGAGACTTCAACTGTGTCATTCTCCTGTTTTCTTATAGTGAATGTGGATGGCTGGAGTAACAGTGTTGCTTATATAATTCCAGAAGAAGTAAAACATAATCACTCAGCAGTAAGAATCAATTCTCTGCTCTGCAAGGTTGACATACTTCCTCCACCGACTCTGAAATTGATGTCCCCTCAAGAAAATAGGGCCATGTCATACTTCCTTGGTAGCTATGTGGCCGTAGTACAGTGTGGCAAGTGCCTATCAGGGTCAAAATAAAGTACCATCAATTCAGTTGGCTTCAGAGTGAAGCCATCCCCAGCAGTCTTCTTCATAAGGGATATGGCTCTTTATTTCACATGTACAGAGGTTAGTTTTTTTCAAAGTATATTCCCTAAAACTAGTGTTCTCCGGACAATGGGTATACAATGCCAGGGGGTGGGGCCTGAAAGACAGAACAGATTGCTTTCCAGAGATGCACAGAGCCTGACTATGTAAACAGTCACTGTGAATCTGCAATAGAGGTTGCCATACATAGCTCTTTCCAAACTTGGTCACAAAACACCTTTTTCCAGAGACCAGCGCTCCCAGGACACGTACTAAGAATGCTAGTCTATCCTTTCAGCACAGGCTGAGCTACCATTCTCAGGGAGGAGGGACTGCAAATGTCCTGGCCCCTGCAACGAGGGTGGGTAGCAGACCCCAGGCTGGGGGCTTGTAACGGTTTGTATCTAGTTGTCCCCCCAAAGCCTCATGCAGTCATAAGGTGGGAACTTCTCAAGTTTGAGATTAACTCATGATCCACTGGATTATGGGTTTTAGTACTGCTGGGATTACGGGTGTGAGTACTTCCCCAGCCTGGGACAGATAGCCTGAATGCAGTTTAAGAGAGACAGACTTTCTGTTGCCTCTGTTGCTGCTACTCCTCCATTTTGCTCTTGCTCTTTGCTGATGCCATGGATGCACTCTGCCCTGTGCCACTCTGCCTTGGAGCGGCTGAGTGTGGACTGAAACCTCCAGTAACTGTGAGCTAAAATAAACCTTTCCTTCCTTCATTTTGAGAATTTCAAGTGTCATTCCATGTCCCAGGAATGAGAGAAGAGTAACTGAGACAGTGCTGCACAGACTGAGGTCAGGTGACTTCTATCAAGAGCTGAGCCACAGAGGAAGTGGCTCAGAGCCTAGAAAACACACAAGGAACAGTCCAATAGTCACAACTGAACATCAGGTGACATTCTGATTTATTTTGTTTGCAGAAACCACTTGTTCTATGTTTTTGGTCTCATTTGGGTTGGACAGACACTAGGAGGGAATGTGGGAGGACAAACACCAGCCTGTTCTGACATGCCCTATGTAGGCCTGTGGCACTTCCCCAGTTCAGCATCCCAAAGACCTGACTGTTACATGCTACTGCAAAAACATGACGCTTTTACCTGAAATAATGCCTAACCTTCAAGTTAGTTCCATTGCTAGGATCCCACACAGACACTGCTAGAGATTAACGGAGAAAAGTAAGGTGTTCCGACAGCTAAAAGTCGCTGAGCCATTGAGTTTTTCTAGAATAAAGGCAGCTGGCAGGAGTGTACTGATGGTGGCAGGCACCTGGTGACCTATCATATTAGAGGCCCTACAAACACATCCTACAAAATACTCCTTGCACAGGAGTTTGAGGAATCACAGAAATGGGGAACATACTTGGTACAGTTTTTATCCAGAGGGCTCCCACGAGGCTCATGTACTCACGGGCAGGGCGTTTGAGACTGGATTATGGGGGGCTGCGCTGACCTGCTGCGAGGAAGCCGGGTCTAGTCAGGCAGCATCTGAGGGCTTGCCTGGAAGGGTTTATTTCCCTTCCTACTGCTTCCTGTCCACCAGGCCAAGAGCAGCTCTCCTCTACCAGGCCTCTAGGCCTGCCTTGGGGCCAGTAAACTATGAATAGAAACATGCGCCAAAATAAACCTTTCTTCCCCATCCATAAGCTGTGGGTGTCAGGCATTTTGTCCCAGCAAGGAAATGACTCAGACAATACTATATACTATATACTATATACTATGCATTATATACTATCATCTTTCTTGCAGAGATTCACAATGCACATTATGACATGGAAGTATCAAGAAATCCCTTAGTAAAATGCATGGCTGGGGAGATAGCTCAGTGGCATAAGCACCTGCCTGTCAAGCTCGAGGTCCTGAGTTTGATCCCTATTATTGCATGCTGTACCCAGCTACACCATGCCAGCCCTGTAACTGGGTATGGTGGCACATGCCTATAATCCCAGCAGTAGGACAGCTGAAACAAGAGGATCACTACCAGTCCAAACTGCACAGAAATACCCTATATCAAAAACAAAACAAACAAAAAAAAATGCTTAACTGGGTTCAAATTAAACTCCCCTCAAAATCTATATTCATTTTTAGACTATATATGCCATAGAATATGTTTTGAGAAATGCTTTATGCCTTTGAGAAATACTTTGTAAAATAAAACAAATGTTTTACTTAAAAAACTAAGTTATTCCTAGGATCACAGGTTGGTCAATAATAAAGGGGTTACAAAGCCAGAGACCCCTACCGTTTTCATTCTTCCTGATACTTGTGTCATGGTGATCACACTTGAATGGGCTGTTGTGACTGGGCTCTTGAGCCTGCCTATAAACAAGCAGTGATAAACTATTCATGATTTTCTCTCTCTCTCTCTCCTTCCTTCCTTCTTTCCTGACACAAAGTGTCCAGCCTCTCATTATGGTACCAAATTGAGCATGACCTACACAGGGGCCTAAATCTCATGCACAGACACCAGATGTTTCGTCTTTTCTTCTTTGGTAACAATCAAGTCGCTTAAACCGTTAGAGCTGCTTATGATGTGACTGACTATAAGGCCTTCCAAACAGACCTCTGCTCCTAAAAAAAGGGATGGTAAAATGTAAAGCTTCTAACACTTTCCAGCAAGAGTCACCAGACCAGAGAACATAACACAACAGCTTTGGCTGCACAGGTATGCAAAGGTGTCACAGCCAGCACAGAGCAAGATGGAAATCAGTGAGAGAACTGGAACGATGCCAACCTTTCATCATTTGCATAATATGTCAGTTTTTGGTTTTGTTTCCAAGGAATTTCACATGATATTTTGAAACAGAAGACAAGGAGAACATAGCTCTCCAACAGCGGAACTTGGTGAAGCTGCTGTCCGGGCCCCGCCAAGCCATGAATCGCTCAAGTTCACACCTCAATAGCAATTCTTGCAAACCGGTACTGCGGGGAGGCGGGTGGCCTCAGCAGCACCAAGCCCCTCTCGGCCGCCGGCTGGCTGGAGAGCACATGCAGCAAGCCTGTCACACTAACAAACCCCAGGGCTTCTCCAGAGCCCACAGCCATGGAAAAATCTCCCTGAGTGACATAGCCGAGGAGGCCTCTGGAGCAGTGCGTAGTCACAGCTGGGAGGGCACCGGGCCACAGCCCCTGGGTCAGGGCTTCCTGCCTGGCCTCAGGCAGCCCTGCTGCCGGCCCCTCGGGAGCAGCACGTCCTCGGTTCTGCCTTTTCTCCACTTTCTTCTTTTCCTTCTGCTTCATGATCATGCTCTTGAATGGGTCGCTGTGCCGGGGCTCCTGGGGCCCGCAGTACTGCCGGTCCTGACGGAGCCGGAGCAGGTCCTCCTCAGCTGGGACACAGATCATGGTGTGTGGCTCAGGGCTGCCCTTCCTGAGCAGGGACAGGCTGACCCACACCAGGGCCCTGGGGAAGCGGTCCGTGAGAGCCAGGCAGGCCTCTCCGGTCAGTTCATGCTGGCCTTGTCTAGGGGCCCACCGCGCTGCCCGCCGGTCCTTGGCACAGGGCTCACACCAGGCAGACAGTTGCTTCAGTAATTTTCGACTCCTACAGTAAGCCAGAGACATATGTTTGAGGTTATTTTGTTTAAGAAAAGATACTACAATCAGAAGATAAGGCATGGCTAGAATTAACTTGATTTTTTTAAAGACTATTTGTAAGAAAGTATTAAAACTATAATTTTTAAATTAAAAACATTAATATATTAACATATATTAATAAAAATATTTTTCTTTATATGTGTCTATCATTCTAAGACTAAAAGTTTAAGAAGTTAAAGGCAGAGAAAAATAAGACAGTGGGTAAAGGGAGAGCTGTCATCACAGTGACAGGATGGGAACAAGAGGAACTGGCATTTTGATGAGGAGACCCTGAGGGGACAACTAGAACTAAAGTCAGAAAGAAGGATATGAAATTCTGAGCTCAGTGTATGGGAGAAGTATGAGGGAAGGGATGAGCGCTTTTAAGATGAGAGCACATTCTACAGGGAGCTGCCGGGCAGCAGGGCTTGGCCGCACAGTACCACAGCAAAACACTTCACCCAGCAGCTGCACGGTGTGGGCACAGAGGGGCTGCTGAGCCACCAGGAGTCCATGACTCCAAGGAACCAGAGGAGCTAGAACCAAAGGATGCAAAGCAAGGAAGCCTGCTCCGTGCGAGAGGTCCTTGGTGACCCAGAAGGGTACCACGTCGTGAGCAAAGACTAAAGGAAAAAGGTGACAGAAAACGGCCTTGGCTTAGGACTACAGCCGACAGGAGGTTCATTTCATCAGTCACTATCATGCCCTCAAGTCAGCTATCACGAGGCTGTTTTGCAGGGTCCTCTCTGCAACACCAAAGGACTCCTAGAACGCCCAAGCATTCATCTGGGTTTTACATAAAGAAACAGTGCTAACTTTTACATTCTGTTCAACATAAAAATAAAACCAAACACTGTAAAATACATCTGGGAGTCACCTGCACTTACCGAAGAACACAGAGTTGGCTCCTGGTGAGAACAGCATGGTTCCCAGGGGCGCCCCGGTCCGTCACTCTCTTCATCCCCGGCTGGTCCTGACACTCTGTGTCCATGACCTCTGGCTCCGTGGGGTTATCTACAGCTGTGCCTGCTTTGGCAGATGGCGCAGGAGCCTTAGGTGACTCCTGTCTCCTGAGGTTACTCTCCTCACCACTCGGAGAGGAATCTACAGAAGGCTTTCCTTGGGCACAGACTCTGGACTCCCACTCCTGAGTTAACTGCTCCCAGGGACACCAGAAAGGCGCCACTGTGCCAAGCTTGATGTAGTTGGGCCGTTTGGCAGGAGGGCGCCTAATGAAATATAAAAAAGACAACAGATTTGTAACACCTGGAGAGTGACAATTAAGATAATTAGAGTCACATAATGCACCTCCATCACACACACACACACACTCTCTCTCTCTCTCTCTCTCTCACACATACACACACACACACACACACACACACACACAAATATGCTTTCCGTGACATGTATGATAAAATAACAGCCAAGAGTTTCTGTTTCCTCTAGTCTTTGGGAGCTACAAAGTAATTCCATGTGACCACTGGACAACCAGATGACCAGGGTGTGCCACTCCTGAGAGGCTCAAGCCTTGGCACTCCTAGAGTCTGTGCATCCCCAGTACTAAGCCTGGGGTAACAGTAAGGTTTCTCTGACTCCTGACCTTTGCTCCTAGTGACTCTGCTCCCCTCCACAAAGACGTCTTTATCAGTTTCTTAGATATTCTTCAAAAGACATTGTACCCAGGTACCTTTTACCTATTCCTTTCTTTTTACTCATATGAGCATACTAGACATAGCACTTTTTGTTTAACTTAACATTTTCCATTTAACAAAGTATCTTGGAGATTGTTTTATATCAGCACATGAATTTCCCTCATTCTGTGTAAAATTCTTTCCTTTTCCACCAAATGAACATATCTTAACCTAGCTAGGCAGCCCTCTGCTGCGAGACACTTGAGTTATACCCAAGCCTCTGCTTCTCCAAACAGTGCTGCCATGCATGACCTTGAGCCTTCTGCACCCTGCAGCATAACCAGGATAGAATTCCATGGACCTGCTAAGGCAAGTCCTCTTCCAACTTCTAGACATCCCCACTCACCCCCAAGCCCCTTTCTCTCATTCCCACAATGCTGTCACTCATAGTGGCTTCAGCCATCTCCATCAGTCATCCTTTGAACACACTGGCCTACCATCACTCCACATCCAGGACCTACTCTCCTGTTCAGGTCTCAGGTCCAGCATGGGCCCCACCACACAATCCCAATTACAAGGACACTACTCTCTTTGACTCCACTCACCCTGCCCAACTGCTCCCATCAGAGGCTCCCAGTCAGGCACACCACCACTTCCTCACTGCCCACCCTTAGCTCACTCGTCAGCAGAGTCCAAGGACACGACAGCCCCTCCCTTACGTGCCTATCACTCTCTCCACCTGGGAGAGCCAGGCCTGGTGGGAGCAGCTCCCAGAGCCCTGTCACAGTGATCCCGAATAGCCCTAAGCACTTCATAAACACAAACACACGGGCGCTCTCTTCCACTCCCAGTCAATTCAGTCTTCCACTCTTTGAGAAAATTACTTACAACAACTCCTTTCTCTTCAAATCTCCAGCAGTCCCTCCCTGCTTCTTGCATCCAGCTCAAAACCTACCCACTCCATTCACCGAGAAAATAGTCTGACCTATTCATCCACAGTCCAGGCAGCATCACCCAATCTCCTCGGCACCATGTCTCACCTACTAAGCCTGGGCTCAGACTTCTTTAAAATGGAATAAGTGGACCCCCATCCCATCAGATGCCACCCCCACCCAAATGTGGGACTCTACTCCCTGTTCTGAATGGTGCTCTTGCAGTTAGCCTCCCCTGCCCTCCTCTCAGTCCCCCTACCACCCAGGAAGCTTGTGTTCCATCAAGGACACAGGCCCCACAGAGCCAAGGACAGATGTGTCAGCTTTATCTGACACCCCTAGTGCCTAGAGTGGTGCTGGACCCGCAGTACACGCTCAATCAGTATGTGCTGAGTGAATGAATAAGTCAGACACATATACAGAGATGTATACAGAAAAATGCTCACAGCACACAGAGAGAGAGAGATTGGAATGATCCCAACAGCCACTGATAAAATACACATCCATACTGCAACCCCACGGAATCACTCAAAGTTCTATTTCCAGCCAGAACAAGCAAGCTGTGACTCACAGGCCAAATTTGGCCCCTGCTTATTTTTGTACAACCTGTGAGCTAAGAATGGTTTTTATATTTTAAAATGGTTGAAAAAAGCAAAAGAATAATATTTTATGACACAGGAAAATTATATAAAATTGAAATATGAGTGTCCATAAATAAAGCCTGATTGGAACACAGCCATGCTCATTAGTTTACATGTCATCTGTGACTGCTTTCAGGCCACAATGACAGAGCTAAGCAGTTGTCATGGAGACCAAAGGGACCACAAAGCCAAAAATATTCATTATCTGGTTGTCCGCCAAAAGTGTGCCAACAATTGGCTTAGAATTACTGATATGAAGAAACCATCCACGAGCTATTGTTAAATGAAAAGAGCTATTGTTAAATGTGTAGAACAATCTTTTTCATTTAAAAAAAATTCTGTACCTATTGAAAACATACGTGCATAGAAAAAGGTATTACTGTCAATAATTGACTGAACACATACAGAACCTCAACTACATAGTATATAGCACATGACCACCACCCAAAAAGAGCCAGTCAGTGAACAGTCCAGGAATGCATCACTGCAGAGCCCCTCAGCTGACTGCCGGCCAGATAGCTCAGTGACCTGCTTAGGCAAATGCAGGGACTAGGGTTTGATCCCCAGCGTGCTGTGCTGGCCCCTACCCCCAGGGCACACTGAGGTGATGAATGAGACAGGGCATGGTGGTGTGCACCTATAATCCCAGCGCTTGGGAGGCTGAAAACAGGAGGATCACTCCAAGTCTGATCTGTGTAGTGAGACCCTATAGATCCTGTACTAAAATATATTTTAAAAAATAAAATATATATAAAAAAAGAACCACTCAGCTGGTCATCCATCCATCATGAACACTCAGCTGGAAAGCCAGGCCCTGTGTTTGTCTCTATGGTGGCCACAGGAACTAGGAAGGCATACCTTTGTTCCCAAGGAGTTTGGTAGAGAGACTACAGTGTAACTCCCTATTAGGTACTGGTGCCTCAGACAGCACAAAGGTTAGGAAGGCCTACCATGGCCGTGGACTGGCTGGCTGGACACTGCAGAAGCCACAATAAAGGGGAGAGAGACAGAAAGGGCGCCTGCACTTTAGTGGAGGGCAGGTTCCTGATGTCCACACGGGCTTCCTGTGTAAAGGAAATAAAGCCCCTCATCCAGCCAATTAAAGAACAATGAATTAAAGATCACCAATTAAAGAACAGAAACAGGCCAGCGGGACCTGCCAGTCCAAGCCCAGGAGCTGCATGGGTGAGACCCTCTTCCACCCCCCTGGGCCCCCTCAACACTCCGTAGCACCCCCCCACTCCGCCCACCACGTGAGAATTTCTGCCACGTTCTAGGGACCCCCGGTTCCGTCCTAGCCCAGGCCCGGTGAGTGTGTGGGAGAGCTTCCAGCTACCCTGAGCCAGCGGGACCTGCACCTGAGGGTCCAAGCCCAGGCGCAGCATGGGTGAGACCCTCTTCCACGCCCTTGTGACCCCACCACCACCACTCTGCAGCACCCCCACCCACACCCCGCCTGCTGAGTAAGAATTTCTGCCGCATTCTAGGGACCCCCAGATCCAGTCCTAGCCCAGGCCTGGTGAGTGTGTGGGAGAGCTTCCAACTACCCTGCACCGCACTAGTCCCAGCCCAGGCACAGCATGGGTGAGACGCTCTTCCACCCCTTTGGGATCCCCCCCACCACTCTGCAGCACCCCACCCCAACCTGGCCGCCCAGTGAAAATTTCTGCCGCGTTCTGAGGACCCCCAGATCCAGCCCTCGCCCAGGCCCAGTGAGTGTGTGGGAGAGCTGCCTCTCCCCCCTACTCTACCTTGTCCCCTCCAAACTCACCTCAGGCCTGGCATACAGGTCTGGGGTGAAACCCTGCAACTGCAATCCCTGCAGAGAGAGTAGGGGACAGAACCACTCAGCTAGTCCAGGAGTAGAACATCTTGCCAGAGGGGCACAAAAGGTTCACTCCCAAGGGCGGCAGCAGGAAGGAGCTGAGCACAGCAGCCAGACCCAAGCCAGGCACAGCTGGATAAATCCAAACTTTGTAGATCTGCACTTGAATTTCAGTAGGTGCTAAGGTTATAACTGCACCAAAGCTCTACGACAAAGGTCAGAAGGCCTACAAAAAAAGACAACGAGAAGGAGCAAAATGCAATCTCAGAACCCAATCTCACCCACAACAAGTGCCGAGGACACTAACACAGAATGAATTGGGAATCACATAGCTGAAATCAATGAATCAATGGCTTCTGAAATACAGAAACAACTGCAGAAAGGTATAGAGGAACTCAGATTGGAAATGAAAAAAGAAATCCCTGAATCAATAACATCTGCATTAAAGAATCAAATGCAGCAACATATGAAGGAAACCCAATGCCCACCCAGAACAAGTGCAGAGGACACTTAGCTCAGCTCAAATGTATGAATTAATAGCGCAGATAGTAAGTAAGCAACAGCAGAAAGTCATAGAGGAACTCAGAGCGGAATTCTTTTCTACTAGCTCAGCTCAAACGTACGAATTAATAGCGTCGATAGTAAATAAGCAACAGCACAAAGTTATAGAGGAACTCAGAGTGGAATTTTCTGAAATAAAAAAAGAATTCTCAGAACTCAGAGCATCTGAAGTAAAGAATCAACTACAGAAACATAGGGAGGAAACCCAATCTGAAAAAAACACTGCAGCAAAAGAATTAAAAACTGCTTCTAAAGAAGACATCGATTAAAAAAATAGAGATTAGGAAAATGACAGATTCCTTGAATGAGCAATACAGGAAAGAAACAGATCGTATGAAGCAGAGTCAAAGAGATACAGAAGAACTTAAAATCTCAATCACAAGCTTGCAAAACCGTTTAAGTGAAAGTGAAGACAGAGTTTCAGATCTTGAAGACACTGGTGCGGCTAGTGAAAAGGTAAGAAAGGATCTCTTAAAAACAACTAGGATGCAGGGAAAAAATAATCCATCACCTGCAAGA